ACTTCTCGGGCAATAAAAATTCGCAGGCAGCATTTGCCGCACATTCTATTGAAAATCACTCATTTAGCTTTTTCTTAATATCGTAGTGACGCCACTGACTTCGCACGCAAATGTCAAGCTCTAATAGTGATACACAGTAGATACCGAAAGCTTTACCCTCTGCGAAGTATACTTTTCTTTGTAAAAAAAAGCCGCGTGATGCCAATAAACTTTTATAAACCCCAGCAAAAAGGCGGTTCGTCGGTTCGTTCTCCGTGACAGCGAGTTCGGCGGGCCGCAGGGGGCGCTATCGGAGGAGCAACAAGAAAAGGTTTCCTGTCCAATTTTTATTTAAATCGTCGTCCCCGGGGACATTAGCGTAGCGGGATGCGATGGAAATGCCTAAGCAGTGCGGAAAAAGAGTTAAAGTGCACTTCAGCCCCGCCGAAATGGCGGATCTCAGCGAAAACGCCGTCGGAATTCCGTGTGTGTCGGAACAAAATATGTAAATTTTCGTCGGATGAGCGAAAAAAGGACGACGTCGAGCCGGTGAGGGGTGGAATACATTTTTGTTTCTATTTAGGAGCCGCTCGCTCCTGGGACGTTAACGGCGGCTTCGGAAATTATCGAATGGGGGCGATCGGGGCAAAAGAGAAGTCGTCGGTAACGAGAAATCTTTTCGGAGCTATTATACAGGGTGTCCCATGTTAATGTACCAGGCCACATAATTTTTCAGGTTTTCAAATTTATCAGGTTTCGAGGGGGTCAAATTATGGTGACCTTGAAGTCAATTATCAAGGTCAATCTTGATTTTTTAACTGGAAACCCATATTTTATATTGCAGATTCGTATTCTGCGGGAAAAAATACGTAACTTTTGTATGAACGATTTTTTTGAAAATGCTTCGTTCTCTCGTATAGTGCGCCATACTTTTATTGTTCCATTTTAAACTCAGGCTAGTATCTCAAGAAATAAGCAGGATGGCGAAAAATATTTCCACCAAAAGTTGTCAGGTTTCGGGGGGATCAAATTACCGTGACCTTGAAATTAACCTTAAAGTCAATTATCAAGGTCATTTCAAGGTTAACCTTGATTTTTTAAATGGACACCCATATTTTTATTACAGTTTCATATTCTACGGGAAAACATGTTTCTTACAGAAGTTACGTATTTTTCCCGCAGAATACGAAACTGTAATAAAAATATGGGTTTCCTATAAAAAAATTAAGGTTCACCTTAACGGTAATATGTTTCCTTCGAAACCTGACAACTTTTGTTGGAAATATTTTCTACCATCCTGCTTATTTCTTGAGATAATAGTCTAAGAATGGAACAGTCAAAGTATAGCGCACTCGGGCGAGAGAACGAAGCATTTTCCAAAAAAATCTTTCATACAAAAGTTACGTATTTTTCCCTCAGAATACGAATCTGCAATAAAAAATATGGGTTTCCATTTAAAAAATCAAGGTTGACCTTGAAATGACCTTGATAATTGACTTCAAGGTCACCATAATTTGACTCCCTCGAAACCTGACACCTTTTGTTGGAAATATTTTCCACCATCCTGCTAATTTCTTGAGATATTAGCCTAATAATTCAAATGAAAAGTAAAAGTATAGCGCACTCTGGCGAGAGAACGAAGCATTTTCAAAATAATCGTTTATACAAACGTTACATAGTTTTTTCCGCAGAATACCAATCTGCAATAAAAAATATGGGTTTCCATTTAAAAAATCAAGGTTGACCTTGAAAATCTTGATAATTGACTTCAAGGTCACCATAATTTGACTCACTCGAAACCTGACAACTTTTGTTGGAAATATTTTTCACCATCCTTCTTATTTCTTGACATATTAGCTTGAGAATTCAATGGAACATTTTCAAAAAAATTTTTCATGCAAAAGTTACGTACATATTTACAAAACTTTTGTTCGAAATATTTTTTTTATAAAAGTCGAATTAAAAAAATTATACCGCCTGGTACATTAAAATGGTATACCAAGTATAAAATAATAATTTTAAAAGAGTAAACAATATGAGAAATAATATATATCTGAAAGTTTAAATTGTTTAGAGGAAGGGATCACTGTCGACCCAAAAAAAATTCTGAAGGGTAAAAATCGAGGTTTTACTGCTACACAGGGAGAATATTAAATGTGTACAAATATTTTAACTAGGGGTATAATTCGCGATGTAAATCAGTTTAGTAAAATTCATTTTTCAATATTGCAAATATATAGGGTGTAACAAAAATAACATTTAAACAAATCAAATTTACATTTACAAATTTAAATGCCTTTTTGTTGAAAACGGCTAGCTTTAGAGATATTAGCAAGGTATTCCGTCCTAATCCTAAAATATCTTCACATAACATTAACTCAATCAATAAAAATAATATAGAAATATTTTTTTTTAAGAAGTATATTTGAAAACTTGTTAAAATTGCTAGCGTAATAGAAGTATTTACCCATGAAAATAATCAATTTTTTTAGTAGGGACTATTTTTTCATGAATAACTTATTCCAAAATACACTCCAGTGGCGTGTGGCGTGATTGGTGGAGTAGGGGACCTTTTTTGAAAAAAAAAAAAAAAATCGTACGCCACTGGTTTTTTAAATAATTTTAAACGTTTTTGTACAATTAATTTGTGGCAATAAGTATTTGTAAAATTTACTGGTCTTTAGATAATTGATAAATCAAATAAGAAGATACTTAAGTACCTACGTTGCTATTTATCATTTTCTATTGATCACTAAATGTGTAACAATAAATTCAATACCTAATATTTTTGAGAGATTCCAAAACACTATACAACGCCACTGTTTTGTGTGTTGCAAAAAGTTTGTTATTTTTCATACAACTAAAAACAGATTTTAATAAAAAAAACATGGTATTCAATTATACAAATATTGAATTAGCAGATATACATTTTATACGGTGGAGCGAATGGCACATAGACAAGCGAATGGCACATAGACAAGCTGAACGACTTTATAGACAGACTTTTCCAAATCGACGTTGTCCAACAAGGAATACTTTTTCAAGCGTTCACCGTCGAGCTCGTGAAACTGCATGTTTGTCGCTACCAAAACGTCGAGCAAGAGAAAGACCTGTTCGTACAGTTCATTTGGAAGACAGAATTTATGGGATGGAATCTGTAGACGAAGACCCATCTACCAGTACCAGACAGATATGAGCAGATTTGGGTGTATCACATGTAACAATCTAGAGCAGGGGTCGGCAAGTAACTTTAGGTGGTGTCCGAATACTTTTGAAAATTTTTAACGAGGTCCAAAAAAAAAATTCATATTATTTTTTTATTTTAATTTGGACTCAAATTTAATCTGCTTACTAACCATTAAGAACTCACACACTCACACAATTGTAAAATACTAGAAAAAATGATAAGATTGGCACTTAAACGTAAAAAACATTTTTTAAATAATTTATTTGAGTAATTTATACTTTCAAAAAAATTTTGGCGGTCCAGTATTTTACCTTCCGCGGTCCGGACCTGGACCGCGATCCGCCAGTTGCCGACCCTTGATCTAGAGCGTCTTTCGTGAGCAGCAATTACGCCCATATCTTGTCCAGCGAGTTCAAGCATCAAATGAAAATGACTACCAACCGAGGATTGAATTTTGTCAGTGGTTTTTACAACAATGCGAACAGCCTGATTTTCAGTTATTAATATTATTTACCGATGAAGCGAAATTTACAAGAAAAACCATTTCGAATTGTCATCATAATCACCAATGGGCGGATGAAAATCAGCATATTATTTCCTAACGTCGATTCCAAGAACAGTTTTCTCTGAATGTTTGGGCAGGAATTGTGGGCGATTACTTGATTGGTCCCTACTTTTTACCCAGAACCCTCGATGGTAGAACTTATCAAAGGCTCTTACAAGAAGAACTACCATCACTTCTAGAAGAAGTGCCATAGAGGCTACGTCAATTATTGTGGTAAATAATATTTTTTTTTTTTGGAGCTACCTCAACTATGGTATATCGTACTCCAGTTCCTAATGTAGAAGTACTTCGACAGCGCATTGTAGAGAGTTTTGCAATCAATAGAAAATGGTAAATAGCAACGTAAGTACTTAAGTATCTTCTTATTTTGATTTTCCAATTATCTAAAGACCAGTAAATTTTACGAATATTTTACAAGAATACTTTATTGCCACAAATTGATTGTATATTTTAAAAACATTTAAAATTATTTAAAAAACCAGTGGTGTACGACTTTTTTTTTTCAAAAAGGTCCCCTACTCCCCTAATAACTACGTCACTGGGGTGTATTTTGGAATAAGTTTTCCATGAAAAAATAGTCCCTACTAAAAAAATGTCATCCCCCAAATTTTATCACTCAATCTTTTATGCCAGTGAAGGTACAGGAAAAATAATATAAATATCTGAAACTTTTAACGCCCTGTATCTCCGTAGGGAAGTGTTTCATAAAAGATTTTTATAGGGCAAAACTTGATTATTTTCATCGGTAGAATAAGCCAGTAAAGTTTGGCAAAACTTATCATTAACACCCTGTAATTTAGTAGCAGGTTTTTAAAAGTAAAACTAACCAATATTTTTGCATTAAAAACATTAAACCTAAAAAATAGGTAAAGCCCAGTATTTGTATTTTGATTAAGGTACAGTTTCCGAATATGTGCATTCCTGGAATTAATAAAAAATATTTGTACTTAGTTCAACTGTCAGTGTCTTCTAAATCGGCGCATGCAATTGACTTGAGAACCTTATCCGCCAAATTTCAAATTTGTATCTACAGTCCGTACAATATTTGATGAGATAGAATTCCAAGAAAACAATAAGCCAATAAAGTTCTGTTATCGGAACTACTGTAACAATTTACCGCAACAGTGGCGTGCCTTGAAATTTTCCCCGGGTGTCGAATGCGGTTAATTCTAAGAAAGCGACGCAGGGGTCTTCTTGGAATTCTATCTCACCAAAAATCGTCTGAACTGTACCTACAACGCATATTTTAACACACACACATACACTTACCGATAGTGGTCAGCACAGTCAGCGAATACAAAAAAGCCTTGGCGAAGCTCCACTCGTAGTTCTCATTGGCGTGCTTTGCCCCCACCTTGGTGACCTGAAGGGGCTGCTGCAGGGCCATTTCCTCCGCCATTGACTTGACCAACTCGTCCTGGAACCTGGTAATCTCCTGCGCCGCCAATCTGGTCCAGTTATCCCTAGGAACAAACAAAATACATAATTTAAATAACATTATTTCTTTTTCTCAGGTCAATTCCCACCTGTATAGGATGTTGAGGCTGACGGTGATCTCCCAGATATTCTCTACGGTCTTCACCCTGGCCTCGTCCGCTTTGGCCTTCAGTTCCGCAGTGCGGTTCAAGTGTTTCTTACTGTTGCTGTTCAGATTGGTCGAGAGGGACGTGGTGGCCAAGATCTGGTGTTGGTAGGTGTTGCCCCCCTCTATAGCTAGGAAAATCACGGAGCCTATGAGGGTGTAGCCGAAGAGGAGCACACAAATACCTATGGAAGTACAAAAAAGCATTCATAGTAAAATTTTATATTGATTTAATAACTTTATCAAATAAACAAAAATATTTACACAAGCAGCAGTTTATTCGTTCAAAACGATAATTACAGTGGCCAAGTGGCCACCATTTACTCCAGACTTGAATCCGGTGGAGCAAAAGTTAAAAAGTAGCAAGAAACCAACGGAGATGGCTAGTTTCAAAAATAGAGCACATGAAAATCGCTCGAAATGACAAAGAAGTAACTCCACAGACAGTAATACCTACTTGAATTTCGTTTAAAAATAATATAATTATAATGACCATCGTTTAATTCAGACATGAATTAAATAAACAAAAATTATTACACAAGCAGCAGTTTATTCGTTCAAAACGATAATTACAGTGGCCACCATCTTCTCCAGACTTGAATCCGGTGGAGCAAAAGTTAAAAAGTAGCAAGAAACCAACGGAGATGGCTAGTTTCAAAAATAGAGCACATGAAAACCGCTCGAAATGACAAATAAGTAACTCCACAGACAGTAATACCTACTTGAATTTCGTTTAAAAATAATATAATTATAATGACCATCGTTTAATTCAGACATGAATTAAATAAACAAAAATTATTACACAAGCAGCAGTTTATTCGTTCAAAACGATAATTACAGTGGCCACCATCTTCTCCAGACTTGAATCCGGTGGAGCAAAAGTTAAAAAGTAGCAAGAAACCAACGGAGATGGCTAGTTTCAAAAATAGAGCACATGAAAACCGCTCGAAATGACAAAGAAGTAACTCCACAGACAGTAATACCTACTTGAATTTCGTTTAAAAATAATATAATTATAATGACCATCGTTTAATTCAGACATGAATTAAATAAACAAAAATTATTACACAAGCAGCAGTTTATTCGTTCAAAACGATAATTACAGTGGCCACCATCTTCTCCAGACTTGAATCCGGTGGAGCAAAAGTTAAAAAGTAGCAAGAAACCAACGGAGATGGCTAGTTTCAAAAATAGAGCACATGAAAACCGCTCGAAATGACAAAGAAGTAACTCCACAGACAGTAATACCTACTTGAATTTCGTTTAAAAATAATATAATTATAATGACCATCGTTTAATTCAGACATGAATTAAATAAACAAAAATTATTACACAAGCAGCAGTTTATTCGTTCAAAACGATAATTACAGTGGCCACCATCTTCTCCAGACTTGAATCCGGTGGAGCAAAAGTTAAAAAGTAGCAAGAAACCAACGGAGATGGCTAGTTTCAAAAATAGAGCACATGAAAACCGCTCGAAATGACAAAGAAGTAACTCCACAGACAGTAATACCTACTTGAATTTCGTTTAAAAATAATATAATTATAATGACCATCGTTTAATTCAGACATGAATTAAATAAACAAAAATTATTACACAAGCAGCAGTTTATTCGTTCAAAACGATAATTACAGTGGCCACCATCTTCTCCAGACTTGAATCCGGTGGAGCAAAAGTTAAAAAGTAGCAAGAAACCAACGGAGATGGCTAGTTTCAAAAATAGAGCACATGAAAACCGCTCGAAATGACAAAGAAGTAACTCCACAGACAGTAATACCTACTTGAATTTCGTTTAAAAATAATATAATTATAATGACCATCGTTTAATTCAGACATGAATTAAATAAACAAAAATTATTACACAAGCAGCAGTTTATTCGTTCAAAACGATAATTACAGTGGCCACCATCTTCTCCAGACTTGAATCCGGTGGAGCAAAAGTTAAAAAGTAGCAAGAAACCAACGGAGATGGCTAGTTTCAAAAATAGAGCACATGAAAACCGCTCGAAATGACAAAGAAGTAACTCCACAGACAGTAATACCTACTTGAATTTCGTTTAAAAATAATATAATTATAATGACCATCGTTTAATTCAGACATGAATTAAATAAACAAAAATTATTACACAAGCAGCAGTTTATTCGTTCAAAACGATAATTACAGTGGCCACCATCTTCTCCAGACTTGAATCCGGTGGAGCAAAAGTTAAAAAGTAGCAAGAAACCAACGGAGATGGCTAGTTTCAAAAATAGAGCACATGAAAACCGCTCGAAATGACAAAGAAGTAACTCCACAGACAGTAATACCTACTTGAATTTCGTTTAAAAATAATATAATTATAATGACCATCGTTTAATTCAGACATGAATTAAATAAACAAAAATTATTACACAAGCAGCAGTTTATTCGTTCAAAACGATAATTACAGTGGCCACCATCTTCTCCAGACTTGAATCCGGTGGAGCAAAAGTTAAAAAGTAGCAAGAAACCAACGGAGATGGCTAGTTTCAAAAATAGAGCACATGAAAACCGCTCGAAATGACAAAGAAGTAACTCCACAGACAGTAATACCTACTTGAATTTCGTTTAAAAATAATATAATTATAATGACCATCGTTTAATTCAGACATGAATTAAATAAACAAAAATTATTACACAAGCAGCAGTTTATTCGTTCAAAACGATAATTACAGTGGCCACCATCTTCTCCAGACTTGAATCCGGTGGAGCAAAAGTTAAAAAGTAGCAAGAAACCAACGGAGATGGCTAGTTTCAAAAATAGAGCACATGAAAACCGCTCGAAATGACAAAGAAGTAACTCCACAGACAGTAATACCTACTTGAATTTCGTTTAAAAATAATATAATTATAATGACCATCGTTTAATTCAGACATGAATTAAATAAACAAAAATTATTACACAAGCAGCAGTTTATTCGTTCAAAACGATAATTACAGTGGCCACCATCTTCTCCAGACTTGAATCCGGTGGAGCAAAAGTTAAAAAGTAGCAAGAAACCAACGGAGATGGCTAGTTTCAAAAATAGAGCACATGAAAACCGCTCGAAATGACAAAGAAGTAACTCCACAGACAGTAATACCTACTTGAATTTCGTTTAAAAATAATATAATTATAATGACCATCGTTTAATTCAGACATGAATTAAATAAACAAAAATTATTACACAAGCAGCAGTTTATTCGTTCAAAACGATAATTACAGTGGCCACCATCTTCTCCAGACTTGAATCCGGTGGAGCAAAAGTTAAAAAGTAGCAAGAAACCAACGGAGATGGCTAGTTTCAAAAATAGAGCACATGAAAACCGCTCGAAATGACAAAGAAGTAACTCCACAGACAGTAATACCTACTTGAATTTCGTTTAAAAATAATATAATTATAATGACCATCGTTTAATTCAGACATGAATTAAATAAACAAAAATTATTACACAAGCAGCAGTTTATTCGTTCAAAACGATAATTACAGTGGCCACCATCTTCTCCAGACTTGAATCCGGTGGAGCAAAAGTTAAAAAGTAGCAAGAAACCAACGGAGATGGCTAGTTTCAAAAATAGAGCACATGAAAACCGCTCGAAATGACAAAGAAGTAACTCCACAGACAGTAATACCTACTTGAATTTCGTTTAAAAATAATATAATTATAATGACCATCGTTTAATTCAGACATGAATTAAATAAACAAAAATTATTACACAAGCAGCAGTTTATTCGTTCAAAACGATAATTACAGTGGCCACCATCTTCTCCAGACTTGAATCCGGTGGAGCAAAAGTTAAAAAGTAGCAAGAAACCAACGGAGATGGCTAGTTTCAAAAATAGAGCACATGAAAACCGCTCGAAATGACAAAGAAGTAACTCCACAGACAGTAATACCTACTTGAATTTCGTTTAAAAATAATATAATTATAATGACCATCGTTTAATTCAGACATGAATTAAATAAACAAAAATTATTACACAAGCAGCAGTTTATTCGTTCAAAACGATAATTACAGTGGCCACCATCTTCTCCAGACTTGAATCCGGTGGAGCAAAAGTTAAAAAGTAGCAAGAAACCAACGGAGATGGCTAGTTTCAAAAATAGAGCACATGAAAACCGCTCGAAATGACAAAGAAGTAACTCCACAGACAGTAATACCTACTTGAATTTCGTTTAAAAATAATATAATTATAATGACCATCGTTTAATTCAGACATGAATTAAATAAACAAAAATTATTACACAAGCAGCAGTTTATTCGTTCAAAACGATAATTACAGTGGCCACCATCTTCTCCAGACTTGAATCCGGTGGAGCAAAAGTTAAAAAGTAGCAAGAAACCAACGGAGATGGCTAGTTTCAAAAATAGAGCACATGAAAACCGCTCGAAATGACAAAGAAGTAACTCCACAGACAGTAATACCTACTTGAATTTCGTTTAAAAATAATATAATTATAATGACCATCGTTTAATTCAGACATGAATTAAATAAACAAAAATTATTACACAAGCAGCAGTTTATTCGTTCAAAACGATAATTACAGTGGCCACCATCTTCTCCAGACTTGAATCCGGTGGAGCAAAAGTTAAAAAGTAGCAAGAAACCAACGGAGATGGCTAGTTTCAAAAATAGAGCACATGAAAACCGCTCGAANACTTCATAAAAAATCGTGCAACTTTTATATTTCACATTTTTTTATAACTCTCAAAACAAAAAAGTTAAAGGGGGGGGGTCAAAATATAGTGAATTACACTGTACAGGGTGATTCACTGTATTTTGACCCCCCACCCCTCCCCCTTTAACTTTTTTATTTTAAGAGATAAAAAAATGTGAAATACAAAAGTTGCACGATTTTTTATGAATTCTTTGAAAAATAAAAGTCCAAATAAAATGTCATAATAGTACCTGTTGTCACGGCCTACCATATAACATTGTCCATGAGTAAATAGGCTCCTCACGGCCTAATTAGTGAGATTTAGTTAAAATACCTATACGCATTTTGGACTATATCAATGTCCGATATGTCAAAATATATTACAACTAAATCTAAATCCTTTTTTCCATTGGAAAAAAGTCAGAAGTGCCTGAAAGAGGTCTAATAATTACAAGATACCTTATTCTCTTAATAAAAAAACCATCTTTTCTTTTTTTAATATTCTCTCGCTTATTGTTAGAGATGCGCCCAACAAACCCTATAGGA